AGCGATCCGAAGCTGAGCGTGATTTGATAATTGACATAAAATGTCTAGTAGATGAATTCCTGGAGAGAGCTAAGTGTCAGAAGCCCAAATGTGCAGCTCAAAGGTCCTAACTGGACAAGCCAACTTAAAACATCCATAACTTTTGATCTGGAAGGTGTTTTGGAGCCTATAAAATATCAATGGAAAGCTCGTTCTGAGCTCTACGTCATGGTAGCCAAGAGACTTGATTGGGACAATTTTTTAGGCCAAAATCCACCATTTTGGCATGTTTTGGGGCTGTTTTGAGTTTTCTACGCGTTTTTTATGACGCTGATAGTTGGTCGCGATCTAAGAACTAAAACTGATCGTGATCTCAGAGCTAAGAATAAGATCTAAGGTTGTTTGCAATTTGAGAGCTAGAACCTAATCACGATCTGAGATATTAAAGAACTCGATATGTGCATACAATCTGAAAGATTTGATGCAAGTGATCTCAAGCTTATGAGCAAGCTTATGAGCTTGATCAAAGAGCATAAGAAGCTCAATATGAAGCGCAAGGAGCTTTGATCTGAGAACTCAAGAGATGCGATCTAAGAGCACAAAGAGTTCGATCAGAAAGCATATAACATAAAGAGTTTGATCAGAAAATGTGAAGCTTGATCTGAGAAGACAAGAAGTTCGATCAAAAAGCGCGAAACTTGATTTGAGAACTCGAGATTAGTGATCTAGGTGTTCAAAAGCACGATCTGGCCAGTCAAAAGAGCGATCTAAATAATCTAAATGCATGATATCAACGATCTTGAACACGAGATCTAGATGCTTATAAGCACAATCTAGCTACTCAGGAGCACGATCTGAGTGCTCAAAAGCACAATCTAGCCATTCAAGAGCATGATCTAAGTGCTTGGAAACATGATCTAGCCATTCAGGAACATGATCTGAGTGCTCAGAAGCACTATCTAGCCAGTTGGGAGTGCGATCTGAATGATCTGAACGCATGATCTCAACGATCTTGAACGCGTGAGCTTGATAGCTTAAGAGCTAAAGAGCTAAAGAGCTTGGGAGCTCAATATGATGTGAGAAATCTGAGCGTGCAATCTGAACGATCTAGCCACGCGATCTGAGAGCTCTGACGGGCACGATCTGAGTGTACGATCTGAGCGATCTGGCCAAGCTATCTGAACTCTAATGCATGTGATCTGAGAGATTTGACCGCACGATCTGAGAGGGCGATCTAAAGCTGAAGATCAGAGTGATCTGAGTGATCTAGCCATGAGATCTAAGAACTCTAATGTGCAAAATCTAAAGCTGAAGATCAGAGCGATCTGACCGCCTGATCTGAAAACTTTGAGAGCGCGATCTGAAGCTAAAGATCAGAGTATTTTGAGCGTGCGATCTAAGCGATTTGGCCACTTGATCTGAGAACTTTGATGTGCGTGATTTGAGAGATATGAACACATGATCTGAAGCTGAAGATCAAAGCAATCCGAGCGTGTGATTTGGCCACGCGATCTGAGTGCTTTGATATGGCATAGGTTTTAGTATTTTGACAATAACTTGAGCTGTAGACCTCAAATTTTGATGATTCTTGGACCATCAGAAAGCTAACTCGAAGAGCTACAACTTTTGTGTTTATCTCTTTGCCAAATTTAGACTTTATCCTACTCGTATTTTCACCTTTGATAATGTGAAGATTTTGAGGCTTGTTGGAAAAACATAGAGAGTCGATGTGCATCATTCCCTTCTTCTAGCGGCAAATTGTTGATGCATGATTTTGACACCAACGACTCGCACATGCAAAGTGCTAAGTTGTTCTTAGAAATTACACGTGAATGATTATGAAAGTTGATTATGATGTAGAGATTATATATGTTTGCATAAACTTAAATAATAGATTGACAAAAGAGATTTTTATAGTGGTTCGAATGCTTAAAGCGAATCCTATATCTACTGTTATTTTATTATTCTCTAACTATTTTTCTGATATTGCCTGTAAGGCGTACAAAAATAGAGAAATGTTTTGTTTACAGAGAAAAAATAATGGTTGAAGCTCTCGTTTGTGCCCAACTCTCATATGCCTAGCCAACCCCTTTTTCATGAAGAAAGGTGCCCTTTATACACCTTTGAGCTCAACGTAATGAGTGCTTTTGCAAGTTACCTTGACACATGGAGAGCTCTCATTCATCATGATCCTTTATTTTGATAAAGGCGGGATAAGTGTTAGGGCATCTCCAACCCAGCGCTATTTTGGGTTGGAGATGACAAAAATAGTGTGAATTTCAACTCCAACCCAGCGCCATTTTCTACACCAATTTGGTGCCCTGCTACAGTGCCACGCTAAATTTGGTGTAGCACTGTTCATGCACACCAATTTGGAGTGGCACTATTCAAACAGTAATTTTTTTTTTTTTTGTTATTTGTATTTAACCTAATTTGTTGAAATTATCGTAGATGAAAATGTTCGATTTCAAAATTTTCTTGCTCGACATAGACAAATCAATGATACAGAGGCTCGCAATACCCTTCGAAATGCATTAATTGATCATTTGTGGGAATAATATACTAATTCGGAAAATTAAATTACTATCAATATAGAATTTACTTTTGTGTTGTTGTTGTCTTTTTTTTTTTTTTTTTGGGTATCATTTTATATTAGATGTAATGTTTTTCTATGTTAAATGTAATGTTTATTTGATTAAATAAATGCTTAATTTTATTAAATTAGTATAATTTTCAAAGTAATTATTATTTAATAAAAATATTATTCCCAACATTTAATTAATATATACAAAAATAATGAGTAAAATAGATTAATTGTTGATTGTTACAATAAAACAAAAAAAAAGAGAATATTCTAAGGAATATTATTTTTGGTGTAATATTTGGTGCAGTGGGTTAGAGATGCAATAGTGTTTCACACAAAAAAACACACCAATTTGGTGTGAAACTTGTACCAATTTGGTGCAATGGGTTGAAGATGGTCTTATATAATATCTCTTTGAGGTGGTTTGGGTTTTGATAGCTAATACACTTTGTTTTTGAGTGCTTGTTAAGCTATAATTAATGGTGCTGACATCGGTGTTTATTTTTTGCACAACAAAATTAATTGATATAAATTAACATGGGTTTATCAATTTTCATCCTTGAGGTTTGGAGAAAGTATCTTTATCTTTGGTCTAGTAGAATCTTAAAAAGTCATTATAGTCCCTGCCAAACTATTATAGTTAAGGTATATGCTAGGTCCACAATCCAATCTTACAGCCTCTCTGACAACTGATGTGGCAGTTCATAATTGGTTAGCTCGCAAATAGGTCCTACCCACTTTCTATGGGTCTAGCTAACTAATTATAAATTATCACGTCAGTGGTTATAAGAGAATGTTGTGAGATTGGGTTGTAGATCTAGCATTATTAATTATAAGATTGTGCTAATGTTATGGAACTTAAATGGCTATTATACACGCATTTGTCTTATTAGGAAGAATAAATATAGAATAAAAAATTAAGACTTTAGAGATTAATATAATAAAGTACAACGAAATAAAAAATGAATAGAATTTATAAACAATTAAAAACATTTTCCCAACTAAAATTAAAGATTTAAAATAAGAATCCCAACCTTAACAAAACTAAAAAAAAAAAAAATTCTCATATCATATTTTATTTTATAATTTTATTGTTCTTTACTATTTTTCTTGTTTTATTAAATTTTATGAAATAAATAATTTTTTATTTCATTTTTTATTCTTAGAAGTGTAAAATGACTATCACGCCCTTATACTGGTTAATTTTCTCTAACTGCATTAGTCTAACAGGGACTATAATGATCTTTTCAAATTATACTGGACCAAAGAAAATTCTCCAAACCTCAGGGATGATTCTCCAAACCTCAGGGATGAGAATATTATTAACTCCAATCTACGTACTTACCTAATCATCGACTTTAATTTGCTTTATTTGTCATTTGTCTAGGATATTATGACATAAAATTTTGACACATCTTGTGAGCCATTCATCTTTGTTAATCCAATAATGATAAGAGGGAATTTAAAGATAATATACTTAACATCTCTTTAATGCAATTGGATTGATGAAAATAAATGGTTTACGAGGAATGTCAAAACTTAAGTCATATAGTTGTACCTCTTGATCTCTCTAATTATATTAAAATAGTGAGTGGGTAAGTTTTTATTTGAGGAGTAATATTACACTTATAAACTATTCTTACTAACTTTTTCTAAAAAACACGACGTGATAGTTTGTATTTGGTCAGTTCGCATTATGTCTTGTTTATCTAATTGCAAACTAACTAATTATAAACTATCACGTTGTGTTTGTGAAGGGAAAGTTAGTAAGAAATATTTGTCAGTTTTTTTTTTTTTTTTTTTTATTGTTATTAGATGTATAGTATTATATTAAAACAGTTAGTTTGAGTTAAAGAGGATTTATTTTGGGTTAGAGCTTCATGTTTTCAATATTTTTATTTAAATTTTTTAATGTAAAGAAATTAGAACTTTATAATATTTCTTTTAGGATTTTGTTTAATTAAATAATACATAATATATTTTAAATTGTAATTTAGTTTTATAATTATTACAAATTATTTTAACTTTACATGACAAATTATTAGTTAGGTAACTGAATTCAATAACTTGTGTTAATATGAAGAACTATTTTGCCGGTGAAAAATCAAAATTTCCTAAATTGTTATCAAAGATATAAATTTAGAATGTTTGAGTATTTAATTTACCTCGTATTATTGATAATAATTATTAATTTTTGGTTCTTTTAAAAGTAAAATTTGGTGACCAGTTACACGCCACTCAAGATGTAGGTTTTATGCAAAACAAACGCAACTACAGGTGAGAAGATTAAAGTCCGAATTCTTACAAATGGTATTGACAGCACAGGTGACAGAATCCGAAGAAACAGGCTGGTGAGGATATCAGTGTCCAAAAACCAAACACAAACACTAACACAGAACAGAAGGAAAGAAGACTTTGTTAAGTTAAGCGGTGTGTTTTCAAGTGTCGTGCATGCATTTTATGCATCTGTTCCTTTGCATGCATTCTCTCTCTTTCTTTCTTTATAAATCTCTCTTTCTTCAACATTTAACTTATATTTATTTTTATATCTATAGTTATATAAACTCTCAGCTCAACCCAATACAAATACAACTCAACTCGACTCGACACGCTTTCTTGGTCGAAACCCATACAACAACCACCATCCCCCCCGCCGTTACTCTTTTCTCTTTCAACTCCCGAGTTGACTCACTTCTTCACCAACTTATCATAATGGGTTTCCGTTACATTTTCAAGATCTGGGTTTTTTGATTTCAACCAGGTTTGTTATTTCACGTTTCTTGTTGATGTATGTGCATGTTTTTATTAATTTTTATAATTTTTTATTTCTTGATCAAAAGGGGTTTTAGGGATTTTGTGATTTTAATTGATTAATTAAAGTATAATAATAATTATTATTATTATTGTGTTTAGTTAATAATGGGGTCGAGAATTTGCATGAATGCATCATGTGGAACGGCCACGACCCATGAATGGAAAAGAGGTTGGCCTTTGCGATCTGGTGGATATGCTGATCTATGCTATAATTGCGGGTACTTTTTCTCTCCTTTGTGTATAAATTTTCAAGTTTTGTCTATTTTTAATTATGGGCTTATCTAAGGTTTTTATTTTTGTGTTTAGATTTTTCATGAATTGGGTTTGTTCTGTAGTTCTAATTATAAATTTCTACCAACATTATGGTTTAGAGTAAAACCAACTAATTACTATGAATTAAATTGAATTAAGAATCATATTTGATTTTTAATTCTACCAATTACTATCTATTCTTAAACTTTGCCTAAATTGAGCGCACAAGATGTTGAATTTAACTGTTTTTGGGTCAGCTTAGAGTGAGCTAACTAAATATAGCCATTTACTAAATCAGTGTAGTTTAGTTACAATGTGGCACTAGAAATTAACCACAAGTTTCAAGTTCAAATTCCTCCTGGTCTATTTGGAAGTTTATGTCATAAATTAGTGCATAGAGATTTTATTTATTTATTTATTTTTCTCTGACAGTCTCTCTGTTTGGTAGTTTTTTTCCGCTAATTTAAGTAAAAATATTTACTAGAGAGAAATGCTAGTTACTAGTTGCTTCTCATTGACATTATACAAATAGCATGAGAAAGTGAGGTCTATTTTTTTCTTACTAAAATTATCACTTAAACATGTGTTATCGTTCTAGATGGGGTTTTATTTATTATTTTTAAGTACTTTTATTGATCTTTATTCTTTCTTGCTTGGCTTTTTGTTTGTGTGCATCTATACTTTCTTTAGATCTGCGTATGAGAATTTTGTGTTTTGTAATACATTCCACTTAGAGGAACCTGGTTGGAGGGAATGCTACTTATGCCGCAAGGTAAGCTGCAGTCTGATAATTTTATTCTTTTGTACTCTTTTTTCTTTTCTCTCTTGAACTTTTCAGTCTAATTGAATCTGATATGCCAGCGTCTGCACTGTGGGTGTATAGCCTCAAAATCTTTGCTTGAGCTCTTGGATTACGGGGGAGTTGGGTGTACCAGCTGTTCAATTAGCTCACGACTTCATGCAGTAAGAGGAATTCAAATATCTTTATCTTAATATTATCTTAAATTGCTGAATCACCTTGTTGAATTTTATTAAGTTGTAGTTTGTATGAGTCAAATATTTGTAGTCTCAAAGTATTTAGCTAGTCATGCTCTCCGAATATAAAGTGGCACATCTATTTTTAGAATGTTAATATAATTACTTGGTGTGAATATTAGAGACATAGTTACAAGGACTATCATGTCAATAGTTTTAGTATCATTCATGACAGCTCTGTCCCACCTACATTTGTGTCATGAACTATGCAAATAGGCCTGGTTCAAATGATAGAGTTGAAATACGTAATCTGTAGCATTGATGTTTGCTTGTGCTTGCATATTTTCATTTAATTATTTGTTTTTGTCTTACCCTCTGATGCACTAGAGGATGTAACAGGCTATACTGTGAAGACTGTGAATATTCATATCAAGTAATGTGGCCCTTGTGCACTTGATTTTTTATAATGGCTTCTTATTATTTTCTCCTTGCAGATGCAGAGGGATGAGATTCGTAATGAATTTGTTGCATTAACAATAAATGATGCTGATAATCTACGGTCCAAATCTGTTGAAAAGACAGTGGTTGGTAATGGTGCTGATGAGGGAAAGCTGACACAGTTGTGCAGAATTATGGAGGCTAATGAACCCAATTTCCTGCCATCTCAGATAGGTGATACAAGTGTGTCTATTGGGCAAGACAAACGGGAAGAGGTCAGGACACCGTTTGGTGAAGTTGGCACAGGCTTTTCGAGTGCAACTCAACCATCTGTTGGATCATCTAAACTTGCCAATCCAGACAGTAGATCTATGTTAGACATTAGAGATATGCATGAATCACATGCTCATCCATCTCTGAGTATGAGTTTGGGAGTGCCATCTGGGAGTACAAATTTTGTGCTACCTTTTTCTAATGGAACTGCTGATGGAAGGGAACAAAGCAAAGTACCTTCTCACTTTCAACAAGGCCAACGATCTCGTCCTATATTACCAAAACCCCCTAAAACTGGCCTTAGCATAAGTCCGGAGACAAGTAAAGGTGCAGTCTCTCAACTGCGGATTGCAAGGCCACCTGTTGAGGGCCGGGGCAAAAACCATTTACTTCCTCGGTACTGGCCACGGATTACTGATCAAGAGCTGCAGCAACTATCTGGGGAGTATCCATGAATGTTTCATTTTCTTTTATTATTAAATGAATTTGGTAAAGCGAGAATATTGTTCTGTGATAATATATTTTGTTTATGAATTGTTAATTTGTTTTTTTATGTTTCACCTTAACTTCATTATCTTTTAGTTTGAATTCCACCATTGTGCCACTGTTTGAAAAGGTTCTAAGTGCTAGTGATGCTGGTCGAATTGGTCGTTTGGTTCTCCCTAAGGCATGTGCTGAAGTAAGTTTTAAAATGTTAATTTCATGTTTTTGATACTTGTAAATTTCCCGTTCTCCTTTAGGGTTTTTTTTTTTTTTTTTTTTTTTGCATTTTTCTGTTACATTTTTGTGAAATGGAAATCAATGCAGGCATATTTTCCTCATATATCTCAATCAGAAGGGCTTCCTTTAAGGATTCAAGATGTTAAAGGGAAAGAGTGGGTTTTTCAGTTCAGATTTTGGCCCAACAACAATAGCAGGATGTATGTTTTAGAGGGTGTAACCCCTTGCATACAGTCTATGCAATTACGAGCGGGCGATACTAGTATGCACCATTCCATTCTTGCTTAAGGATTATTTATATTACCTGGTCTGTCTTTATGTATCATAGTTTGTTCTACTTGGTGATATGATATTAAACAATTTATTTCATGGACTGATTGGTGCTGAAGCTGATATAGGCTGATGTCCTAGTGGCCGTTTTGATTGGGACCATAAATTTAAAAATTGCATGAACTTTATGTTTGGATATACATTAACTCTCTCGCTTATATATTAGTTAAGGGTTTACCTACCACAGTTGGTTTTGTTTTTGTTGGTTAGGTGTATTGTATCTTACGGCTATTCATCTGAAAGATTTTCAGGACTTCATGTATGAAGTAACTGTGAATCTGGTTGCTTAGTCTGTGATTATGTTTCTAAACATATCTGAAATTGTTTAATTTTATAGCGTACTATTTGTGTTTGATGTCTGGACTAGTATGATGGCCAGGACTACGCATTATCATTAATTCACTCCTCTACATTTTCCTTTAATTATCAAGACATCTTGATGCATACTGAGAACTCTTTTGTCCTGATATTTTGCTGGCTATCGATATTGATTGCATACTGAGAACTGTCTTACCAGCAGTTTTAGTGGAAATCAATATTGATTGCATATCAAACTTTTGCTCTCACTTAATTCTTCATCTCCTGTACTGCAGTAACATTTAGTCGGATAGATCCTGGTGGCAAGCTTATAATGGGGTTTCGGAAGGCAACAAACTCTGAAGAAATGCAGGTCAAGCTTCTTAGGCTTATTTTACTTTACGTGTGCATCTTTTTAACATTTTTAGATATCTATATTGTCCTGGAAATAAGCAGATGTTGTTTTTGTTATTTCAGAAAGTTAATAATAATTTAGTCATTATATGAACAGGATGCTCAAACATCCGCCCTTCCAAATGGTGCTCCTTCTGGGGAAAGTTCTGTTTCTGGTGTTACTGAGAATCTCCCTACAGTAAGTGGTTATTCTGGTCTTTTCCAAACACTGAAAGGAAGCAAGGAACCTCACATGAATGCGCTGCCAGAACAGTTGAGTTTGGTTGATGGGGATATTGGTTGGCATAAAAGTGACAATCATGAAAGCATTACAAAAGAGGAGTCACCACAGCAATCCGTTCCAAACTCAGAGAAGAAGAGAACTAGGAATATTGGGTCCAAAAGTAAGAGATTGTTAATGCACAGTGAAGAAGCACTGGAGCTAAGACTTACATGGGAAGAAGCACAGGACTTGCTTCGGCCACCCCCAAGTGTCAAACCAAGCATTGTCACTATTGAGGACCATGAATTTGAAGAATATGATGTAAGTATCATAGTCAGGGGTTCTGTTTATTTATTCCTAGTATGTATGCTATGATGATGCATGAGGAATTTCGAATTTAAATGTGTTTCCTTGGTAGCAATGTAATCAATGTTGTTTATGATTTAGGAGCCTCCAGTTTTCGGAAAGAGGACTATATTCACTGCCCGGCCATCTGGGTAAGGACTTTAGTAGACATTCTACTTGTCAATATTGTATTTGGAATGCTTGAAAAACTTTAAAGGGTACTAGTAAATTTTTTCAAATCTTTTCACTGGAGAATTGAAGAGCTCTTCTGAGATAAGGAGCAGCGCTTCATCCAAGCTTGCTTAGAGTGCTATTTAAACTGTTTAGGATTGCTTATTGAGTCAATTGTCTGAAGTACCTAGTTGTGGCTTTGTCATCTTTGAGAAAATACCAAGTCCGAAACGTCCAAGCATGGTATCATTTTGAACAGCCTTTGCTACAGGCATGCCTAAACATGCATTTTAACCCACACTCCCCCTCTCCCCTACCTCTTTTTCTGTTACCATTATAACTTGAGACAAATTGAGGACTTGTGACCTCAGACCTTGAAATTTTTTTTTATTTTTTATTTTTTATTTATTTTTTATTGTATTTAGAAACTTTCCCAGTTTGGTCAAGTTATAAATGATTCATCTTCTCCTCCTTATTCTCATTGTATGTTACATATACCTTTAGTTTTTATTTCGTTGAATTTTGACGGTGCATGAAGGAAGATGTGACTCCTAGAGAGGGCAAAATGTTGTAGTTATGGGAAACACTACATTTTGAATTCAATTGTCTATCACTACTTGCATGGATCAGAACAACTTGGAATTAATTTTATGCTAAGCATATTCTAGTTCTGAATTCATTATGCGCTTTGTCCAGGGGACAGGAGCAATGGGCTCAGTGTGATGATTGCTCCAAATGGCGAAAATTGCCAATGGATGTTCTTCTCCCTCCAAAGTGGACATGTTCAGACAATGTTTGGGATTCAATCAGGTGCAACATTTTTTGTCCATGGGAGAAAGAGGTTTTTTTTTATTTTTTATTCTCATGTGGTTTATGATGCTCTTAGGTGTTCATGTTCTGCACCAGAGGAGATGAGTCAGAAAGAATTGGAGAATCTTCTTAGAGTTGGTAGAGGTATGAATCAAGGAACTGTGTCTTTTGTATTCTAAGGAAAGTTCTGCAGCCCTTGATAATGCTTAAGAAGGGTTTTAGATTAATAATCTGAAAGAAATGCTTATGGTTAATAATCTGCATGTGTGTGAAGTGTGAGGATGCATCCATCCAAATAATGTAATTGCATGCTTTAAAATATTGTGCATGCATGTGCCATGCATTGCAGCTGTTACACTTGGATGATCTCGCTTGTGCATGAATCTTTTAGAAAAGGACAAGCGTTCATCAGAATGTGTGCGTCTAATGAATAATTTAGTATGGCTCCTAATTATTATTCCATTTCTTAGAATTCATTGTTTTTTTTTTTAATTTTATTATTTATTTATTTATATATCAAACGAGCAAATCGACTTTGATTTGCCACACTATTCTTTGAATATTAAGTAGGGAAACGCTGATATGTGCCCTTTAAGGACACATTTTAAGATCACTAAAAAACAAAAAACAAAAAAAAATTGATTATATTGAAGCACATTATTTACAAGAATATACAGAAACACAGTTTTACTATGCATCAAAATAGCTAAATTTTTGTGCCCTTGGAATATATGATAAGACCACCCTATTTAGTAACATTATATCTCTCTAGATTCTATAAATGTATATTTATATGTGTTCATTGTTGTTTAAGTTATGTTCATCCTTTTAAATTTTATTAATCTTCATTAATATGAATTGTTGAAATCTGATGTTAGAAGTTGGTTTGATTCATGTGATTAAATTAATTGTTCTATTGTTTTAGAGATTTATATCCCAATTTTCTTTTAACATTATTTGAGATTACAATATTAGTGAAGATCTTGTTGACCATGGTTTTCTTGGTTATCATAAAATATTGGTAAAAGAACTAGAAATAAATAGTAGTACTAATATAGGTAAGGCCTATTATGTTGTTTTCTATTAGGTGTATAGATATTGTCTTTTTTATAAGTAAAATTTCAATTGGATGAAAGCACTCTTCAAAAAGTTGTTCTATTTAGTATTTATGTTAAGCATTTTTTTTTTGAGAAAAGATTTTTAGGTTGCGTTGTGTAATATATAATCTTTCCTACACTTGTACGTACTAGATAGCTTAAATGATAACCAAGAGTGCCAGGCTGACATTCTTGTGACTATCATCGGTAAATTATCCTTTCTTAAATCCTTCTATTCAATGATGATGGTGTCTCTGCTTTGCTATATCATATGAAATGTAAACTTTGCCCTCCATAACTCTTTAATATTAACATACTTTCTCACTTATTTTTTCTATGTATTTTGCTTAGACTCCAAGAAGCGTAAGATTGTAGAGAGCAACCCAGCCCAAGAACGTGAGCCTTCTGGCTTAGACGCTCTGGCAAGTGCTGCTGTTTTAGGAGACAATGCAGGAGACTTAGGTGAGCCTTCAGTCGGAGTCACTACTAAGCATCCCCGACACAGGCCTGGCTGCACTTGCATCGTGTGCATTCAGCCTCCAAGTGGCAAAGGAAAGCACAAACCCACTTGCACATGCAATGTTTGCATGACTGTGAAGCGCCGGTTCAAAACCCTCATGCTGCGCAAAAAGAGACGTCAATCAGAACGTGAAGCAGCAGAACTTGCTCAGAAGGACCATAACGATGACAAGGGTGAGTCAGAAACGAACAACAGTACAACAAGAAATGAATCGATGCAAATGAGTCATTCAGAGAATGAGATGAACCAGAAAAGAAGTCAAGGAGAGGTGGGTGAGAGCAGCAGTGGACAAATAGATTTGAATTGCGATCCTAATCGTGAGGATATGCAAATTGGAGAGACAGGAGTTAGCCTTTTGACGCTTGTACAAAGCAGCAGGCCATTAGAGAATTATATGCAGCAGCAGCAGTCAAATGGACTGAGTTCATGTTTACTCCAACAAGTTAATGGGGAGAATGAGAGACTTATGTCTGATGAAGGATTCCTAGCATCTGTGGGGTGGGGTCGTGACCAGGAGCCCAATTTAGACTGAAACGGTTTTTTTTTTTTTTTTTCAACCTTGATAATGATAGATCACTCACTACCCGTTGGCTCTTTTCTTTCTTTTCTTTGAACCAAGGCCGGAAAGCAGGCTGTGTATAATTTTTTTTTTTTTTTTGGCTCTCTAGTGAGGCGATGTCATACTTTAATAATTTAATTTGTTTGTTTTTATCATAGCTTCTTCATAATTATAGAAAATAAAATGGATAAACTTTGATGATTTCCACCATTGCAGTTTATATTTTTGGGGTTACGGGTTTGTCATTTTGTGGACAGCTCGTGTTGCAAATTATTATATATATTTTTTTACATCCAACGGCTATTTGGTTTGGAAAATATTTTATTACTAAAAAAATAGAATTATTAGTGGGATAGCTTCCTTTGAAGATTAACGGAAATATTATATTATATATATTTAGTTCGATTGATGGGTATAAATAATTAATATGTTTGGTTGGAAGGAATAAAAGAATTCAGGGAGATCTTTTTATTAAATTGCCTTTTCTTTTTAAATATTATTATAATATTGTTTAATTATTTAGATTATTACTTTTAACCCCCAAACATATGAAAATTAGGCAAAACACCCTAACCAAAATAAAAGTTTAAAATTCAACAAAATACCCATAATCACCCAAGCGATTGCTAGACACTGTCAGAATTGGCTTGACCGGCGCACGATCGACCAAATTCAATTGGATGTGTGTCATTCCGATGACTGTCGACAACAGTTGGCGGTGGTTGCCAATGGCCAGCAGTCGGCTTGGGTGGTTGGAGGTACTTTGTTAAATTTTAAACTTTTATTATGGCTTGGGTGTTTTAGCAAATTCTCAAATGTAGGGGATTATAGAATTCATTTTGCTGACAAACATATGAGAGCATTTGTGTCCAAAATGTTAATTAATTAAGGGTAAAATGGGAACAAAAATTGGATTACCTTGGTAATATTAAAATAACACCATTTCACTCAGTAATTAAATTACCCCCAATATTACTGAAATCTTTGATTACCTAAAAACCAAACAAGGTTATATCCTTTTTTCTAGATAGATTACGGTGTCATCTTCCATTACTGCTAACCAAACAACCCCTTGATATAATTGGTGATGTCAAAGCATACAAGAATGTTTTGAGATCTTTTTAGTTTGAAGAGTTTAAATAATTAGTTAACAAATAAATGGAAAGTTTCCTATAGTTAATATATTGAATGGTGATTTTCAAAACATATATTAGTTAAAATTAGCACTCAATTTCTCTTAAGGTGTGTTGTGCAGTAAAGGTCTCCAGATCGGGGGTAGTTAGAAAGCTCGGAATACGCCCCCGCTCGAGGTAGGCATCGAGCCTAGGGGCGGAGATGAACCAAGGAAGCGTGGACAATCAGCAAACATATACTAACACAACATTTGGCAAGACAGAAAAAAGGGGCCCACCATGTGAAACATCCTTCCATTTAGCTAAATCACTTCGCCACATATGAGTTGCCTACCCCAATCGATGGCACCCAACCAAGCAAACTCCACGTGCCTTTCATGCAGCTAAGTTAATAAAAAGCCTGTAAAGGCACTGGCGATCAAGGGGGACACCATCATTCTCTATGGTGTAGGGGCATGTGAGCCTCCAACCGCCGTGCAACATATGACGACCCAACTAACGCACCTATCATCATAACACTCCTAAGGTTTTGTATAAATAAAGAAAACAGTCAACTAGAAAAGGGGTTGGGAAAAATCTGATGGTCTCATCATTACCCTCCCCAAGGAGAGCCACATTGTCATCAAGGTGGAAAGAAGGAAACTAACGGTTGAGAGTGGTAAAGTCTTCCCATGTGTTTTTATAATGAGGCAGTCCTTACCATTTGATAAGGACTTTATGGTCTCCATTCAATAACCGACGTATTTTCAATACTTCTTCAGGCTCCACATTTAAGATCAAGTTCTCATGAAGGTTGTTTGCTAGGGGTTGGTAGTAGGTGGAGGGAAATTAGCCTTCTTAAGTTGGGAAACATGAAACACATTATGGATGCAGGCTGTCGGTGGTAGTGTTAGTCGATAAGCAACTTCACCAATCTTGTCAGCAATCACAAAGGGGCCATAATACCTTAGTCTCAACTTCTCATTAAATCTGGTGGCTAAGGAGCGAAAGCGATAAAGTTGGAGTTTCAAATAAACTAAATCACTTACCTCAAAAGTTACTTCCCGTCGTTTTCCATCACTATAGAACTTCAGCGGTTTTGAGCCTTAGCGGGGTTGTCTTTCAGTTCTTGCAATATGAAGCTGTGATCTTGTAATTGTTGGTTCACCTCATCTACCACAGAAGTGTTGTCAGTATATTTTAGGAGAGCCGGTGGGTCTTGGCCATAGAATGCCTTGAAAGGTGTCATTCCTGTGGAACTATTGTAGGTAGTGTTGAACCAATATTCTGCCTAATGTACACATTTTGGCCATTGTCGTGGTTTCCAAACATCTATTAACTACCTCTAATTGGCCGTCTGTTTGGGGGTGATAGGCCGAACTCATAAGAAGATGGGTGCCAGATTCCCTAAACAACTTTTTCCAAAAAAGACTCATAAACACACAGTCACAATCTGAAACAATGGTCCGCAGGAACCCATGTCCTGTACAAACAAGGCTGCCACATCCTTTGCCGTGTAAGGGTGTTTAAGGGTGAGAAAATGGCTATATTTTGTGAGTCGATCTACAACCACTAAAATAGTATCGACATTCTGAGCTCGGGGAAGTCCCATTATAAAATCCATAGAGATGTCTTCCCAAACTTGAGTGGGAATAGGGAGGGGTTGTAAAAGGCCAGTTGGGCTAAGAGCTTCGTATTTATTTTATTGGTAGGTCGGACAGGCTGCTACAAATGACTGGACATCTCTTTTCATCCCTTCCCAGTAAACCACATTAGAAAGCCTCTTATAAGTTTGGAAAAAACGAGAATGCCCTCAAATTGGTGAAGAATGAAACTCATGTAGAAGATTTTGGATATGTGGGCCGATCTTTGGTAACACCAAGCGATGATGATACATCAATTGACTTCCTATCAGCCAAAAAGAAGGAGAGTTAGTAGAGTCTTTTGTCAAGTCTTAAACAACCAGTTGCATTTAGGATCTTGTTGAATTGCCTTTTCAAGCTCTTCCATCCCCGAAAAGCATACCAAGGAAAGGGTTGTTTGTTCTACTATTTCACCTCTTCTTGATAATGCATCAACAACTCGATTTTCAATCCCGGGTCGATATTGAATCTCAAAGTTCAGCCCAATCAACTTGGTGACTCATTTTTGTTGATCTTCACCCATAACTCGTTGGTCCATTTGGAAGCGGAGACTCTTTTGATCGGTGCAGACTATGAAATGCCTTCCCATCAAGTAATGCTTCCACTTTTGCATAGCTAAGACAATTGTCATTAATTCCCATTCATAGACCGATTTAAGTTGTGACCTAGGGGACAAACCTTAACTGAAAAAGGCTAAGGGGTGTCCATCTTGCATCAATATGGCTCCAATCCCACTCCCTAAAGCATTAGTTTCGACCACAAAAGTCTTAGAGAAATCTAGCATAGCAAGTACCAGAACTGAAGTCATTGCCTATTTTAACTCCTCGAATGCTCTTTGAGCCTCAAAATTCCAAGTGAAAAAGTCCTTCTTCAATAAGGATATTAGTGGGCTCGCAATCTTCCCATAGCCTTGAACAAATCGTCGATAATACCCTGTGAGCCCCAAAAATCCTCGAAGAGCTTTGATATCCTTTGGTGTTGGCCAATTTACAATACTCTCAATTTTTGATGGGCCGGCTGCAACCCCATTTGTGGAAATGATATGCCTCGGGCACTCTAACTTCTCTCTGCCAAATACACATTTCTTCTTATTAGCCACAAGTTTGTGCTTCCATAGTGTCTGAAGGGTAATCTGTAAGTGCCTTAGGTGTGCCTCAAGATTCGAACTATAAACTAGTATGTCGTCAAAGAATACAAGAATGAATTTCCTTAAATATGGTTGGAAAGTATCGTTCATGAAAGCCTGAAATGTAGTTGGGGCATTTGTAACACCTTCTTTCTACTATCATATTCATAAAATATATCAATAAAAAAACAAGTATATTTATCAAATAGGTTGGGTCCAAAAATTTTCTTTACTTAATAAATACATTCTTTACATAGTACAACATCATTTGTACAAAAGACTCTCAAAAAGACAGGGGACAGTGTAGTCAAGTCTCCCCGCTTGCCGACGTTCATCCGACCACGTCCTTACCTATGCCCTGAAAAACAGAGAAAACAATGGGGTGAGCACAAAGATGCTCAGTAAGTAAATCTTCTACTCTATAATCCCCGCACAAATCTGTTCGTATTTTTGTTACTCTCTCTAGTTCAATCACTCTTGTTCTTTCTCTACTTCTAGTTCTTACCATTCATTTCTTTCTTTCTATTCTCATCACCCATGGAGAATATCATAACCATGCATGGATGAGACACTAAAGCATAACAATGCATTTTCTTTCTTTTCTTTTCTTATTCTTATTCTTATTCTTATTCTTTGCCGGTCTTGGTCGATGCATGGATTCAGAACCCTTGGTCATGTGAGTGTACTCTCTCTCGTGTATAGCCCTCATCCGCATGTATTCTCACAGCTATACAAATTATGTTTCTCATTCTCATTCCGCTCTCTCATGGCGCTTTACATGCGGGTAACTCTACACTCATGGGTTCCCCATCGTACGACCTATTTTCTTTTCTTTTCTGTAGCACTTAATAATCATTTTATTCTCTAGTGCTAGTTCTTTCTTTCTCTTTATTCTAAGAGAATTAGTTCTTTTCTTTATCTTTATTCATAGAGTGTTTCTTTCTCATTTCTCATATTTCTTTCTCATGTGATTACTCAATTAAACATATGCATATGGATGGCTCATGCCTAAAATCTTTCTTATATGCATTCATGGCATGCAAATATGCTATGTTGCATAAAGTAAGGTTCTCTACTTCTACTCATGCTTCTTTTAGATATTTCATTAAACAATATGTGTGCATACATAAACTCTATTCTAATTGTTAATGATATTTCTTTCTTAATCATCCAAAATAGGAGCACAACTCCTTTAAATCATCACACATCCTGCAAAGAAAACACACTTCAAATATTCCTCTCAAATTCTTCTAATTCTCTCCATACTTCTACTA